GGACGTATCTTCTTCCTTACTGGTCTCTGTCTCGTTGGCTTCTGCTTCACGTAAAGTTCACCTGCTCCATCAGGAAATGCCCTATTATCGGTATAAGTCACATCAGTGGTAGTAACTTCATCAAGGGCTTCACTGTTTCCCTTATCAAATCTGAGTAGAGTTTCTTCTTCGACAGTGGTTTTTCCAGGTGACACGTCTTCAGTGGCATCTTTTGTTTCATTGTTCACTTCATCCCAACTGAAATGTCCTGGACCATGATAAAGCCAAAGCCTGTTGGCATTCACCACCTTTGGCTTACATCGCCGACCACATTTTATTCGGAAAGTCACGTCTGAGAGACGATCCACTATGTCATATGGGCCTTCCCATGGAGAAGACAACTTAGGAGACTTCCCATTGGTCTTCCTGGGATTATACAACAACACCTTGTCTCCTGGTTCAAGGCTGACTTCAGTAGATCTCTTATCAAAAGATAGCTTCATGGAATCAGTCGACGCTTTAAAGTTTGAATGCACTTGATGATGAATATCATCCATCCGTTCAGATAACACTTTCACAAACTCTGACACATTTTCAGGCAACTCTTCGTTAGCTGGGCATCTTGTTATCAGGTCCACTGACAACCAAAGTTCCCGACCAAACATCAACTTTGCTGGAGTGTATCCAGTGGCTTCATGCTCTGCTGTCCTATAGACCACCAACAGTGGAGGGAGTAAGACATCCCAGTCATCTTGGCGACTATTACAAAACTTTGCCAGTTCCTGTCCCAGTGTCCAATTGTACTTTTCTACCATCCCATGAGACTGTGGGTGAAGTGGCGTTGTTCTGATCTTTCGGATGCCAAACAACTTGCAGCATTTATGGAACACAGCTGATTCAAAGTTACGGTCTTGATCTGAATGCAGTTCATATGGCATACCAAATCTGAAGAAGAAATCACTAATAGCTGAAGCTACAGTTTTAGCTTCCTGATTTGGTATTGCATATGCCTCAGGCCACTTGGTGAAATAATACATTACCATACAAATGTACCTGTTTCCAGCACGGGTTTGGGGCAAAGGACCAGCAATGTCAATGGCCACTCTTTCCATTGGTGTGTTAACTTGATATAACTTCATTGGAGCATGTCCCTCATTCTTGGGTCCCCTTTTAGCACAACATGTACTGCATGTCCTGCACCATTCTTCCACATCTTGCCTAATACCTATCCAGTA